CTAGAGCGGGAAAAAGCTCGCCAGCGGGCACACGGAAAGGTCGGGGGCCAGAGCTCCGCGCCAGTCCCCAGTAGAGCACGAAGAATTGAGGACGAGCGTGAGGAGGAGTGAGGATGAGGAAGAAAAAGACAAGGAGGACGGGGAGGAGGATGGGAGGAGACGGATGATGACGGATGAGGATGAAGGAGGAGGAGGAGGAGGAGGAGAAGGATGAGAACGAGGACGGATGAGGCGATAGGATGATGATGCAGTACAGACATGGGCGAGGAGGAGGAGGATGCCAAATACAGAGGATCGAGCTTGCGTTGACCAGGACTTCGGATGTGTACCTGTTTGCGCCTCTCCTGGACTGGAGGGACGCCATCGTCGCCACAGCTGGATGCGCCTCGAAATTCTGGCCAGAAGGCACCCCGGATCAATCCAATGGCCGCTTCTGAGCTCCTGGACCACTCGAAACCAACTCGAAGGACCACCCAGTCTCTCGTTGTAAAGGGTTCCAGAGGCCTCGGGGCCAGCGGCTCGAAAAAATCAGGTCATCAGTACTCTGCTGGCCAGGTCACGGACGCTTGATGGGCGCATATTCCACCACCGCTACCATATGTAGGACGGGGCAGAAGGGGGGATGAGGAGGTCCTCCTCCTCCGCCGCCTCCTCCGCCTCCCTATCCTACTTATGGTAAGGTGGTGGAAAATGGGCCCATCAGCACTGGCGCTTCACGCTGCGCGAAGCCGGGTGCAGCAGGCTCGTGCCGTGACGACTTGCGCTTAGGCTTAGGTCGGGCATGTCCCCTTAAAGGCGGATGTTGCGCGAACAATGAAAAATAGTTTAAACAAAATATACAAACAAAAATATGACAATTGTCGAAGAATCGTCCCCAGACAATGTTTTACGATTTTTGCATATCCCTCTTTTGGAGGGGCGCGCCCGACTGAAGCTCAAACTCCCGACGCTTCGTGGACCGCGCGAGCCCGAGGCCCAGGGCGCCCGGGCTCGGACTCTGGCCTTAGGTCGAGCACCACAGGGAAATGATGACGCACGACAAGGACGCGACTGTCGTGCGTCGCATAACAGGATTTGGCCTTCCAAGGTCCATGGCATTCCAAGGTCCATGGCCTTCCAAGGTCCATGGCCTTCCAAGGGAGCGTGGCCTTCCAAGGAAGCATGGCCTTCCGAGGTCCATGGCCGTCCATGACCTTCCAAGGTCCATCTCCTTCCATGAGTCCAAGGACACGCAGGTCCAAAGGCACGACCTTGCAAGGCCATGCCGACACTCTGCGAGCGGGGCGCGGCCAGCGAAAGCGGCCGAGACTGGCCGGAAGGGGCCGGATGCAAGGGCATAGCCTTGGAAAACTGCTCCTCCTTACGATGCGGGCTGACTGTAGCTCGGCGCTGGTCTCGTCTCGCGCCCTGAGCCTTGAACCTTCGCGGCTTCCCGATGGCGCGGATCCCTCGCTCAAGAGGCCTCCTAGATGGGGTCGAGGTAGATGGGGTCGGAGTAGATGGGGTCGGAGAATAGCGCCGATGCACCGGCGATGTACCGGTGATGCATCTTCAACACCGTCGATGCATCGGCGATGTAGACGTGTAGCAAATTGGGCTCCGCACCGACCGCATCGCCGATGCATCGGCGACCGGCGATGCATCGCCGACGTCGGCGAAGCATCGGCGGCGTCGACGTGAAGCGAATTGGGCTCCGCACCGACCGCACCGCAGATGCATCCGCGATGCGGTGCGATCCTCCGACCCCCCTCTGCTCCGACCCCACCCGGGAGGCCTCTCGAGCCCCGAGCCTTGAGAAGCTTCGCGGCTTCCCGATGGCGAGGATCCCATTGGTCCTCGGACGCATCTTCGGGAGCGGCCAAGAGGGGGGTGTCCAAGAGGGGGGGTGCAAATCATGACCGGCGGCATGTGCGCGGCCCAGCGGGGGGGCCAAGGACGTCATGACATACGAAGAGGCGCCACGAGATCTGGGGAAATATCATGGCCCACGCCATGATATCCACCCCTCCTACTCATCACCCCCCTCTTTTCCGCCCCCGACATCTGGGCCGCCGCCGCCCGTCGACCTGGGACGACCGCGCCGGAGCCGCCGCCGCGCGCGGCGCGGCGCGCACCCGCCGCACCCCTCGCTGCCGCGGCTCCCGCGAGCGCCCCCTCCCCCCGCAAGACGAGGCCAGGGCGAGGGGCGAGGACAGCTCGGGAGTCTCTGAGAATCCGGGGGGAAAAAATCGGGCGAGGGTCCATCGGGAATCTCTGAGATCCGGGGGCTCCGGAAGGTGCACCAGGCGCCGCGGCCTTCTCCGGGCGGTCCCAGACGCCCTGAGAGCGATCCGGAACGCTCTGGAACGGACGTCTCCTCGTCCTGCCCCCGTCCGCACCCCCCCGCTGGAGGAAGCACCGGGCTCTCGCGCCTGGGGGCCGCAGAGAAGCGGGCCTCTCTCTGCCCGAGGTTTCAGGACGGGGCAGGGTTAGGTCGGGCATGTCCTCCTACAGGCGGATTTTGTTCGAAAAATGAAAAACAGACAACAGATATTCAAAAATAGTCAGAACATAATAGAATCATCGTCCCCCGACTATGTTTACTATTTTTGAATACCTCTCCTGTGGAGCGACAGGCCCGACTTCAGGGCAGGGTGAGGGCGGAGGGCGAGGAGGGCGCGGAGGAGCAAGTTCCGCGGAGGGCGATGCCAGCGACGAGCACGCGAAGGACGGCGACGAGCGAAAATGAAAGCCCTGGCCTTGCCCATCGCGCGCACACTTCCGGCAACGCTGAGGCCATGCTGCCGTGCAGCCGTGCCAGTCCGCCCCCGCCCAAGGCACGCAGGGGAAGTGAGCATGCGGAAGCGCTCTCTGCTTGCTCAATTCGGCCATGCTCAGCTCTTGCAGAGCAGGCGAAGCCGCGCGCAAGACACGAACACGTGAAACCACAGGGTAATCCCCCCCTGAACATCTGCTCCCACACAGAGAAGATATCCACCAAAGACCACAGGGAAGACATCGGACGAGGCAAAACCATCAAGTGCTCACCGTCTTGACACGACACAGGCAAATGTCAGATTGAGGGCGCAGCAAGGACGCCTTGGCGAAGCACGCAACATCCACGAAAGATGTCCCTCGACATTCGGCAAACGACGAGAGGCCGCAACACACCACTGATTCATCACGCAGCGTAACAAGGCGCCTGGGTCTTCTTTGTAGGGATTGTGGTGTTGCGGTCGATCAACTTCGTCATCACGCCCCCCGCGGTCTCCAGACCCAGAGAGAGAGGCGTCACGTCCAGCAGCACAATGTCCCGCAACTTCGAGTTCCCTCGGCCGCACTCTACCAGAAGCGCAGTCGTCAGATGTGCAGCACGCGCCGCATCCCCCTCCTTCCCCGCATGTCCTTGTCCACGTTCACTGGCCCCTGTCCATTCTCCCCCCTCTTCACCTCCTCCCTTCCCCTCGCTCCTATCCTCCTCTTTCCGCCCATCCACCTCTTCTCCACCCCTCCCCAGTCTCATCTCCAGCCCCTTCCCTCCCGCTCTCCTCCCCCCCGTCCCTCTCCTCCACGGCCCTCCGACTTTGTGATGCTTCAATGACTGGGCCGATGACCTCTCGACCCCATCCCAGGGACCTGCTCCTCTTCGCGGGACGGGTTCTGTTGGCATCAAGCCCGCAGCGGACCTCCAAGGCCCCTGCACCGTGGAAGCCAGTGACCAGCGAAGCTCCAGTGACGACCCGCGGCGCGGACGGGGCGGCCTGCTCGGCTGGCGGCCGTGCCCGGGCAGAGCTTCTGGGCATCTGCCTGAGCCACCCTCATGGGCAAAGCCAAGCATAGGGGAACGAACAATGACATGAACAGAAAAACTCGGAGGTCCGCGCCGAATTCTCGGAACCGCGGTGGGACCCCCTGGCGCGCCGGATCCCTGGCGCGCTCCTCGCGCCATGGAGGGGGTCCAGCGCCGATCCGAGAAATCCCCGCTGGCCTCCGAGTTGTTATGTTCATGTCATTGTTAGTTCCCCTAAAACAACTACCACACGGATCGCATCGAAACGCCCAAAAAAGTGACAGCGAGCCCCTTCCGAACCCGAGCTGCTCCTGAGCCAAGCGTCGTGGCACACGGATCGGACAAAAAAGCCCCAAAAAGTGACAGCGAGCTCATTTCGAACCCGACCTGGTCCTGATCCGAGCGTCATGACAGCAGTACGGCAGGTTCGCGTCGTGTCGACCCTGGCGTTGGTTCCTGACACCGCGGGGATCGTTCAAACTTGAACGATCGGCCCTTTCAAAAAGGCAAGATCGTTCAAGGATGGGCCGATTCTGGGCCACAGGCGGCGTTTAACCTTAAAAACGCCCGCGCTGGGGTCGCCGCTGGTCGACACAACGCGAACCTGCCGTACTCAGGCAGAGTCACAGCGAGGCTCTCACGAGGTCCAGACCCCTAACCTGGAACCAATGTTCGTCATCCCGAACGGATGTTCCTAGACATCCGGCTGCTCCAATATTTTCAATGCGTGGATGTTTCGTCCCGAGTCGATGTTTGACGGTCCCGAGGCCCCGCGAGCGACCCAAGATACGATGTTCCAGCCTCCTGATCACCAGAAAGCATTTCGAGCACCAAGAGAAAGTACCGAAACTGGACGGTTTTCGCGCGTCGGGCCCTGAGGGGCGATAATTACTCGTTCGACACCGTGTCGATTCTTTTTTCTGGGTGCTCGAAATCATTTCTGGGATGTGGTCCATCAGTACGTTGGGGACAACATGACCCAAGGGGCCGAAAACTGCCCAACAACCCGACGCTCCATTTGTTGGTGGGAGCGGCGGATCTTCGGGCCTGACGCTCCCGGGCCCACGGAGGCCGATAGATTTGCCAACGGCCTCTCGTCGTGCCTTCTCCACGACGCGAAGAAGACGTCCGGGCCCTGCCGGGCTCCCGCGCTCCCGCGCCGCCCCCTTGTGCAGGGGGGCAGGCTGCAACCCTGTCCGCGGGCCCCTCTGGCGGCGGGTGCGCATGGGGG